GGCCAAGGCAGTTTCTTTAATAACCAATGAAAGCAACACAAATACAGAAGGGCCTCCTATACCAATATATTGTTTACATTTTGAGGTCATTGTCCTCATTTGCTACAATTTTTTAAAGATGTTTAATTTGGGGGCTGGAGAGATGGCTCAGAGGTTAAGAGCATTGCCTGCTCTTCCAAAGGTCCTGAGTTCAATTCCCAGCAACCACATGGTGGCTCATAACCATCTGTAATGAGGTCTGGTGCCCTCTTCTGGCCTGTAGGCATACTCACAGACAGAATATTATATACATAATAAATAAAAATAAATATTTTAAGAAAAAAAGATGTTTAATTTTTAATATAAAGCCTTGTCTTTAAGCTATATAGGTATTAAGAATTACAGTCAATAGTCATCTATGTTTGTCATACTTATAATATAACCTTATACTATATATGTTATATATGTTATACTTATAGACTAACCAAGTTCTTTAGATGCATAGAGATTGTATTCTTCATAAATAGGTAACTTTCAACCACTTCAAAAAACTGTAGAATATGGCATTTAAATAATTTAGCGTTCTGTTGACATGAGACATGATTCCTCCTCGCAGCACTGATCTATTCCTGAGAGAATGTTGGGCACCAAAGACTCTCCACTTGGAGATTGTTGTCTTCTTGGCCAAACTAGCCTTTGGGCAAAGAACTGCCCCTGCCTCAACCACTGACAAAATGCATGGTGTTCACTGAACAAGCAGGATACAAGCAAAAAGGCTGCCAAACCTTGCCACGATAGGGTAGAAGGGTTTTCAAATTTTCCTGGCTCTGAAAATGGTCTGTCAAATATTTGAGGCCTTAGTCAAAGTTGGTTGCCCCAATGTTGCAAATGAGACTTTGGGTGATTGTGCAGGTAGCCAGTTGTCTCTGTCATTTCTTGCACCTTTTAGAAGTTGCTTGATTGTAGTTCCTGTTTACTCAAGTAATATTATTTCCCTTCTCAGGTCTTTTATGGGGTTGAAGACTAGATAGTCATATTTATGGTCCTCTGATGACTTAGCCAAGCCAATCTTAATATAAGACTTAGACTCCTTAGGATAATTATTGAAACATTTACCATATGTTTCTTGTTTATGTTGTTCATGCTGGTTGTAATTCTAATTTTTATGTATGTTTTTGCCTCTTCTTTTCCACGGATAATACTTGATATTTGTTCTTAATTTATGTAGTTTTATATTAGGTGTAGAACTCTTTTATTTAGACAAAAGGTGGAGGTACTCTGGGAACTCCCTCAGTAAACAGCCTTTAAGATACCGGCCCACTTTGGGTGTGGTCTTAACGTACTATAAATGCAGATGAAAAGCATGCATGGGCCTCTTGGCTTCTGGATTTGGTTTCAGTTTCCAGTGCATACAAAGGACTGTGGATTGCTACCCATTCTGTGAGTTTATTCCCAAATAAATAAACCTTTGTGATACTCCATTCCAGGCCATTGTGGAACTCTTTTGTAGACCAGCACCTACACTCTCAAGAACCTTCTGGACCTCCAACAGTGTCATCCTCCTGTCTGCCACAGTTGAAGGACTTCCACATACTCGAGTTTCCAAAGCATCCTCACCAGAGAAGATTTCCCAGTAGAACCCTGCAGCAGCATTTCTGCCCAAATAGCCATTTCCCAGTCTGCAATATGTCTGTTTAATTTTTATATTAGTATGATATTATAAGAAATGTTTGTGTGACTACATGGAGCATATTTGAAAGGCAAATCTTGTGTGGACTCCCAAGTGCTGAAGCCCTCATAGGCTTTCTGCACACTATGAACAAGTTGTCTTTGCTCCAGAGATGCAGGAAAAAGTCTGCATATGGAAATCAATAAATATATCATATCACATAAATAGACTTACGGTCAGAAATCACCTGATCATCTCAACAGATGTGGAAGAAAGGGTGGATAGTTTAACAAAAGTCCATGATAAAATTCCTAAAGAAATTAGGAATAGAAGGAATAAATTACAATATAATAAAGACTATATATGACAAACCTATTGCCAGCATTATACCAAATAGAGAAAAACTCAAAGCATTTCCTCAAGTATGAGGAACAAGACTATTTCTCCATTCTTATGCAATATACTACCTAAAGACTTAGCTGAAGCAATATGACAAGAAAAGGAAATACAAGGATGCAGATATGAAAGGAAGATGACCAAGATTTAGGCAGGCAATAACTTCTTGACTAAGGCAGCCAGGAAGTAATATCAACAATCAACAAAGGGAACCTCATGAAACTAAAAAGCACAGGAAAACAAGTTAACTGAATGAAGAGACAGCATATAAAATGGGAGAAAAGTCTTTTCTAGCTATGCATCTGATATAGGACTCATACTTAGAATACTCAAAAAATTAAACAAGACATCATATAACCTAATCAAATGGTAGGTAATGAAACTAACAAAGTTCTCAAAAAGATGAAAAACCACCTTTAATCCCAGCACTCGGGAGGCAGATCTCTGTGAGTTTGAGGCCAACATCGTCTACAAGAGCTAGTTCCAGGACAGGCTCCAAAGCTACAGAGAAACCCTGTCTCGAAAAACTTAAAAAATACAAATGGCCAATAAAAATCTTCAATGTTATTAGATATCAGATACATGCAAGGTAAGACTATAGTGTTCATCTCATCCCAGTTACAACAGAATCCTAAGAAAACAAATAATAGCAAATTCAGGTGATCATGTGGAGAGAAGAGAACCCATCAACTGCAGGAGTAAACTACCAACCTAGTTTATGTAAACTAGTTCACCCACTTTGCAAACCATTAAGGAATTTCTCAAAAAACTAAAAGTGGACACACATACACACCAGAAAAAATTCAGCCATAAACAAGAACGGAGTTATGTTGTTTTCAGGAAGATGGATGCAACTGGAGATAACTATTGATTCAGTCTTAGAAAAAATATCCCATGATTTTGCTTAATTGTGATTCCCAGATATAGACCTATAACATCATGTACACATGCGTGGCATGAAAGTAGAAGTGAAAATATTTAGGGGAAATAACGGGAAGAATGGAGGAGAAAGTATGTGAGGTGGTTAAGCTCAACACACAATATGTACTTGTGCCAAGATGTCCTTTTAACCCAGGACCATAAATAGACACAGTGAAATCCTAAAATAGAAAGTGTATACACAATAAATATATTGTGAGTCAAACATATATATTTATATGCATATATAAGCATATATGGACCCGCCTTATTAGGGTTTCTATTGCTGCAACAAAACACCATGATCAAAAAGCAAGTTTGGGAGGTTTACTTGGCTTATCCTTCCATACCACAGTCTATCACTGAAGGAAGTCAGAACAGGAAGTCAAGCAAGTCTGGAACCCAGAGGCAGGAGCTGATGCAGAGGCCATGGAGGGAAGCTGCTTACTAACTTGCTTCTCATGCTTGTTCAGCCTGCTTTCTTATAGAATCCAGGGCTACCAGCCCTGGAATTGCCCCACCCCCACTGATCACTAATTGAGAAAATGCCTTACAGCTGGATCTCATGGAGGCATTTCCTCAACTGAGGCTCCTTCCTCTCTGATGACTCTAGCTTGTGTCAAGTTGACACATACAACCACTTAGTACAGGATCATACACATTTTTTTTTATAGTTTGGGTACATAACTGAAATCATATTGCATATGATCATTAAAATCTTCTAAAGGAAGACTTTAAATGGCTGTAGGAAATTGTTTTCTATGAATATAATTTACTTAGCTTAATGCTACACTTGAAGATGTTGCATAAAATTTCCTTCATGAAAATTTCATGAGTGCTTGAATCTACAAAAGGTAATGTGTAGGAATGCTCACAGCATTCTTCAATAGTTTTCAGGGAAGGAATAAAAAGGAACAAAGTCGGGTTACTTGCAAGAAAATGGATGGAACTGAAGCTATCTTGTGAAGTGAAGTAAGCCTGACCAGAAAGATAGTTATCATCACGTGCTCTCTCATCTGCAGAGTCCAGGGAACAAATAAGGAAGGTGACAAGAAAGCAGAAGGGACGCTATTAGGAACACTAGATGCCCTCTTCTGCAGCCAGCACAAGAACACAGGCACACACCCATGCACGTCCTCAGACAGGGAAGGGTATGGTATGGGTGGGTAAGAGAGGGCAATACACGTGAAGAAGATAAAAACTTTATGTACGCATGGGATTATCACAATAAAACCCCATATTTTGTACAATATATAAATGCTAAAAAAAAACCCTCTTAGATAAAAGGGTAATCCTCCCCCCATCAAATGCTGGCTTTCAAATTGGTCTCAAAAGGTTTAGAACTTACTTATATATGGTGTGTCTCACCCATGGAAACTAAAAACCTGCTAAGTTAGTTTCCAGTGTTAAATGCTCATGAGTATAAGTTCTTAGTAGATCAAATGCCAAAGGATCACTAATGACCTCTAAGTTTCCAGAATTCGAATTACTTTTAATGCTTTAAAAATATTCTGCCACTAAAAATTTAAAGATTATTAAAATTCTAAAAAGAAATTACAATTAAAAGACAAAACTGTATTTCAAGATCCAGTCATCAGAAAAGTAAATTTCACCAGGTGTGGTCTTCTTGTTAATGTATTACAAACATTTTTAAATAAAATAAATGGATTTAAAAAATATGAGCCCTCTTTTGGTCTTCGTGTGTGCATGCACACATACTTAGGTTTTAGTTTGTGAACTGATTGAAATGAAAGCATTTCTCTTTTTTAAAAAGATTTACTTTATTTTATCTTATGTGTATGAGTGTTTTTGTCTACATGTATTCTGAGCACCATATGTGTTTCTGGTGCCTATAGAGGTCAGAGGACGGCACCGGATCCCTGGGACCTGGAGTTACGGATGGCTGCACAGCACCACGTGGGTTGTTGGAAACCGAAACCGTGTCCTCTGCAGTTGTGATAAGAGCTTTCAACTGATGAACCACACTCTAGCCCCATGAAAACATTTCCTTACATAATAAACTAAAGTACAATCTTACCTTTGGGGGGGAATTCTTGAATTCTTCTTATCAAACAGCTTTTGTTCTGCTGCTTTTGTCACTATATTAAAAAAAAAAAACACCAGATTAAGAAGTAACATAAGGGGCTGTAGAGATGGCTTGGTGGTTAGCTTGCTGAGCCAGTATAAGAAATAGAATTTGTGTCTCTGCACCCATCTAACAAGCTGGGAATCTTGTGCATGACTATAGTCCTAGATCTGAATAGGGCGGGGACAGGAAGATGCCCGAGACTTGCTGGTTTCCAGCCAAATGAGAAAACAGAAGTCCCAGACTAAAGGAGAAACCCTGATCCACAGGAACAGGCAGGTCTGCAGAGCACGGGCACACACACGTGAACATAAGCTCTTTAACACAAACACAAAGACATGCAATCTTTTTTTTTTTTTAAAGAATTGACATAAAATATTTGGGTGTGGCCGGGTGGTAGTGGTGCACTCCTTTAATCCCAGCACTCGGGAGGCAGAGACAGGTGGCTCTCTGGGAGTTTGAGGCCAGCCTGGTCTACAAGAGCTAGTTCCGGGACTGGCACCAAAGCTACAGAGAAACCCAGTCTTGAAACTTGAAACCTTGAAACCATAAAATATTTGGGTGTGGTTGGCACACACCTGTAATCCCAGCATTCAAGAAACTGGAAAAAAAAAAAAAAAAGAGGACTGCTGTGACTTCAAGGACAGCCTAGGCTATGTGATGATTTCCAGGACAACCTGGGCTAAGAACAAACAAATATGGAATATGAATGAATAATTCCTCATTATTTGGAAGATCATGCAAAATGACACATACTATAGCTATCAAGCACAACTCTGTCCTCTTTCTTACTTTGAAAGTGAGCGCACTAGAAAGGAAGTCTGCTTGCAGTTTCCAGTGAGCAATCTTTTCTTCTGCATCCAAGAGGAAGCCATAAAACAGCAAATCCTCTAAAAGACACATGCCTCCTTTTCTAATGAAGGGAACAGTACTTCTACCTGGGCAGCTCTGAATAACTGTGATCTAGCAGACTGAAACGTGAGAAACATTAGGAGGTTTATCTCTAAAATTACTAACGTTTGAAATACAGGGGCTGGAGAGACGGCTCAGTGGTTAAGAGCACTGGCTGCTCTTCCAGAGGTCCTAAGTTCAATTCCCAGCACTCACATGGTGGCTCACAATCGTCTATAATGGAATCGGATGCCCTCTCGGGTATGCAGACAGACATGCAGACAAAACACTCATATACATAAAATACATAAATTAAAAAAAACTTTAAAAATACATTAATCTTTCTTACTTAGTGTTATAGTTTTCTCTACTTCATTTTTTAAGGAACATGGGACCAGGGAAACACCAATGAGATCTTCAAGTCTTCTGTTGTTCTTCAAAGCCTAAAAGAAAACTATTTTTAGTGTGTTGAGTAAATTCTCTACAACTAAGAGGTTATTTATAAACAAAATACAATACACTGCAGTCTTCATTTAAAAAAAATCTTAAATTAGAAAATTTGATCTTTCCTGGTAAGTCAAGTGTAACAAGCCCTATAGAGGCCGTAAGGTTTGAGACAGAATTTCTCTACATAGTCTTAGCTGACCTGAAACTTAATATATAGACCAGGCTGGCCTTGAACTCTAGAGATCTGCCAGCCTCTGCCTCCTGAGTGCTGGCATTAAGGAAATATATCACTATGCTCAATTAAGAGCAGGTTTTTTTAAAAAAAAGGATCATTATTAAGAGACTTAATTTAAACATGCCAGGTGTGGTGGCACATGCCTTTAATTCTAGCACTTGCGAGGCAGAAGTAGGTGAATCTGTGAGTCCAGCCTGGTCTACATAGTTGAGTTCTAGGACAGCCAGAGCTACATAGTGAGACCCTATCTCAAACAAATGAAAATCCCAAAAACCTTAAACATATACACAAAATTACTTTTAAATGTGAAAATGCCAGTTATTACTAAAATATTACAGTTAATCATTATGTACTATAACCAGGGAAGATTCCCATGAGAAATAAATTATATACTCTGCAAACTTGTGACTAGACATACAAGGCTTCTTTTTTATCCTTTTCAAAACGGACAGCAGAGGTCTGAAAATTACATGTGAGAAAAGTGCAAACCTGTATACTACTTAAATTCTTCATTATCTCCATGATGTTTTCTGCTGATCTCTCAATTTTGGATAGCAACACTATGAATCTAGGAAGGAACAGACAAGCATAGTTACTAAGAATAAGCAGGGATGTGTCAGGTCCCAGGGTTGTAATTCTATTCCTAGAGACACACGCTGTTCTCTAGCCCTTTCTTCATGTGTCAAAGAGCTAACATATGGAAATGTTCTCCCCTTGTTTTGATATTCCTTTATAAGCACAACACACATTATTAATCACCCTCTCAGCGCCTACTCGCCCAGCTTCCATTCTCACCCATCGGTGCGAGGGGAGACATAGCTGCCTCTTTCCTTTCCATACATCCTTTTTGAGTTAATATTCCATTGTTCACTTACCATGGGTGAGACTGCAGGGCAGTGCTATCTAGGAACTTAAAATAATAGCTTGCAGAGTTCAGCGTGAAAAAGATACAAAAGCAATCTCTTAAATTTGAACTAACAGGGGAAACCTACTTCCTTGTGATCATGTTACTCATTAGTAGGTTGGAATTTTTCCTCCTTAGGATTTAAACTTTATTTTTTGTAAGTCTGAATCACCAGTTTCAACCTGTTCGTTGTGACCCCTTTGGGAGTCGCATATCAGACATCCTTCATATCAGATATTTACATTACAATTCATAACTAGCAAAATTACAGTTATGAAGCAGCAATGAAATAAATTTATGGTTGGGGTCAGCACAGCATGCAGAAGTGTCTGAAAGCAGCATTAGGAAGGTCGAGAACCACAGGTTTTAAATGATGCTTTCTTTACTTAACATAACAAGCTTTTGGGGGAGGGGAGGGTTTTTTCTTATTTTTTTCTCTTTCTTTCTTTCTTTCTTTCTTTCTTTCTTTCTTTCTTTCTTTCTTTCTTTCTTTCTCCTTTTCTTTCTTTCTTTTTTGAGAAAGAATGCCAAAGTGTAACTCTGGTTGACTTGGAAACGGCTATGTAGCCTAGCTGTTATCATATATGTAGCAATTCTCTTGCTTCTGCTTCTAGAATGCTGGAATTATGGGCATGGACCACTACAACTGCTTAACTTCTGAGGCATGCACACACCAAAAATGGATAATTTTAAGGGCTGAAACAATATTCTATCAAATAAACAAGCCAAAGATGACTTAATCATTGTTGCGGTTTCAGGCTGTATTCTAATTTTAAGATCTTATCATCTAAGAATACACATCCAGAAGCGTAACAGAAACGTAAGTCACACATATACTTTTCAAGTAGCTGCATTAAATGAATAGAAAGAAATAGTTAAAATTTAATAACATTATTTAGCTCAAGATATTCAAAGAATTATTATTTAAACATAAAATAATATAAAAATTCCTGAGATATCTTTGTAGTTTTCAAGTCTGATGTATATTTATATTGAAACATCTCATTCAGACTAGCCACACTTCACATGAATTTTAGCTACATGACTGAATCACCCTTAGGACAAGGAAGAAAAAATTAAAGACTTCCTAGAATTCAATAAAAATGAATGCACAACATACCCAAACTTATGGGACACCATGAAAGCAGTGCTAAGAGGAAAGTTCATAGCACTAGTGCCTACATAAAAAAAGAGAAATCTCACACTAGCGACTTAATGGCACACTTGAAAGCTCTAAAACAAAAAGAAGCAGACTTACCCATGAGGAGTAAATGACAGGAAATAATCAAATTGAGGGTAAAAGGAATAAAATAGAAACAAGGAAAACAATACAAAGCATCAATGAAATAAAGAGCTGGTTCTTAAAGAAAATCAACAAGATAGACAAATCCTTATCCAAACTTGATGGAGGAAGGTCATTGAGCAATAAAGAAACTGCTTGGCTGGCCCTGATAGGTTAAAGCATAGGTGGGAAAAGTAAACAGAATTGAATTCTGGGAGGAAGAGGAAGTGAGGTCAGACTCTGCTCTGCTCCCTGAGAGACCCGACAGCTCTGCTCTCTGGAGCAGAGACACCATGCTCAGCTCTCCCGGGGAGATGCAACAACAGCTCTGCTCTCTGGAGCAGAGACACCAGGCTCCGCTCTCCCAGGCAGCTCCGACCCAGGATGGACGCAGGCTAGAATCTTCCCGGTAAGCACACCTTGGGGTGCTTACATTATTAGAAACGGGCTAGTCCAAGTGCGAGAATTAGCCCATAAGGGCTAGAGTTCATGGGCCAAGCAGTGTTTAAATGAATACAGTTTGTGTGTTGTTATTTTGGGCATAAGCTAGCCGGCGGCCGGGGTTCTGGGGACGTAGCACCGCCACTCCTATTTCAACACAAACTAACCAAAAGGCAGAGAGAGATCATCTAAATTAACAAAATCAGAAATGAAAAGGGGACATAACAACAGACACTGAGGAAATCTAAAGAATCATTAGGTCATCCTTTGAAAACTTGTATTCCACAAAATTGGAAAATCTAAAAAGAATGGATAGTTTTCTGGATAGATGGACATACCAAAATTAAATCAAGACCAGATAAACTATTTATTTATTTTTGAGACAAGGTTTCTCTGTAGTTTTGGAGCCTGTCCTGGAACTAGCTCTTATAGACCAGGTTGGCCTCGAACTTACGAGTGCTGGTATTAAAGGCATTCGCCACCACCGCCCAGTTCCAGATAAACAATTTAAATAGACCTATAACTGCTAAGGAAATAGAAGTCATCAAAGCCCCCCCCCCCCAAAAAAAAGCCCAGGGCCAGATGGTTTCAGCACAGAATTCTACCAGAATGTTAAAGAAGAGCTAATACCTATACTCCTCAAATTGTTTTACACACTAGAAACAGAAGGAACATTGCCAAACTCTTTTTTTATATTTACTTATTTATTTATTTATTTATTTATTTATTTATTTATTTATTTATTTATTTATTATGTATACAATATTCTGTCTGTATACCTGAAGGCCAGAAGAGGGTGCCCGACCTCTTTACAGATGGCTGTGAGCCACCATGTGGTTGCTGGAAATTGAACTCAGGACCTTTGGAAGAGCAGGCAATCCTCTTAACCACTGAGCCATCTCTCCAGCCCCTGCCAAACTCTTTTTATGAGGCTACAGTAACCCTGATTAAAAAAAAAAAAAAACTCAAAGACTCAAGCAAGAAAGAAAATTACAGACCAGTCTCACTCATGAACATATATGCAAAAATGCTCAATAAAATAATGGCAAGCAGAGTCCAAGAACATATCAAAAAAATCATCCACCATGATCAAGTCAGCTTCATCCAAGAGATGCAGGGATGGTTCAACGTACGAAAATCTATCACAAGAAACCCATGTGAATCTTGAATTTCATTGCTCATATTGATTCTAGGAATACAGTATGAAGCTTAACTGCAGTCTCAACCATCTACAAAACCTCCTATCCATGTACAAGGAATTTCTTTTTGGCAGCACTCTCGTCCAGACAATGGGGAGTTGTTCTTGTAGTTTATTATCTTTTATAGTCAAGAGAAGATTTCTGTGCTCTCTTAAGTATGATTGTGAATTCTGTATTTGTGTGGTAATTTGTACAATAAGGAAATAAATCTATAAATGAAAAAAAACAAAAATATGTCATTGTAATCCATTATATAAACAAACTGAAAGAAAAAAACATATGATCATCTCATTAGTTGCTGAAAAAGCCTCTGATAAAATATAACACCCCTTCATGATAAAGGTCTTGGAGAGATCAGGGATACAAGCAATGTATCTAAATATGATAAAAGCAATATACAGCAAGCCAACAGCCAACATCAAATTATATGGAGAGTGGAAAGTGATTCCACTAAAATCAGGAATAAGACAAGGCTGTCCACTCTCTCCATATCTATTCAATATACTACTATAAGTTCTAGCTAGAGCAATAAGACAACAAAAGGAAAACAAGGAGATACAAACTGGAAAGGAAGATGTCAAACTTTTGCTATTTGCAGATGATATGATTATATATATAAGTGACCCCAAAAATTCTACCAGGGAACTCCTTCAGCAGATAATCACATTCAGTAATGTGGCAGGATACAAGATAAACTAAAAAAAAAAATCAGTAGCCCTCCTATATACAAATGATAAAAGGACTGAGAAAGAAATCAGAGAAACATCATCCTTTATAATAGCCACAAATAACATAAAATTTCTTGGGTGGTATAATATTAAACAAAGAAGTGAAAGACCTGTTTGACAAGAACTTTAAGTCTTTGAAGAAAGAAATTGAAGAAGATACCAGAAAACGGAAAGATCTCCCATGATCTTGGATAGGGAGGATCAACATAATAAAATGGCAATCTTACCAAAAGCAATCTACAGATTCAATGCATTCTCTATCAAAACCCCAACACAATTCTTCACAGACCTTGAAAGAACAATACTCAACTTCATACGGAAAAGCAAAAAAACCCAGGATAGCCAAAACAATACTATACAATAAAGGAACTTCCAGATGCATCACTATCCCCAACTTCAAGCTCTACTACAGAGCTATAGTAATGAAAACAGCTTGCTATTGGCATAAAAACAGACAGGTGGACCAATGGAATTGAATCAAAGACCCTGATATTTATCCACACACCTATGAACACCTGATTTTCGACAAAGAAGCTTAAATTATACAATGGGAAAAAAAGCATCTTTAACAAATGGTGCTGACATAACTGGATGTTGACATGTAAAACAATGCAAATATATCCTTATGTATTTGCATGTACAAAACTCAAGTCCAAACGGATCAAACACCTTAACACAAATCCAGTCACACTGAACCTCATAGAAGAAAAAGTTGGAAGTAGCTTTGAGCACATGGGCACAGGAGACCACTTCCTAAATATAACACCAGTAACATAGACACTGAGAGCAACAATTAATAAATGGGACCTCCTGAAACTGAGAAGCTTCTGTAAGGCAAAGGACACAGTCAATAAGACAAAACAGCAGCCTACTGAATGGGAAAAGATCTTCACCACGCCACATTGGACAGAGGACTGACTGATCTCCAAAATATATAAAGAACTAAAAATCTAGATATTAAAATACCAAAAATCCAATTAAAAATAGGGTACAGATCTAAACAGAGAATTATCAACAGAAGAATCTCAAATGGCCAAAAGATACTTTAAAAGCTGCTCAACATCCTTAGCCATCAGGGAAAGGCAAATCAAAACAACTCTGAGATACCATCTTAAACCAGTCAGAATGGTTAAGATAAAAAACACCAATGATAGCTTATGCTGGAGAGGATGTGGAGTAAGGGGAACACTCCTCCATTGCTGGTGAGAATGCAAACTTGTACAGCCACTTTGGAAATCAGTATGGCGGTTTCTCAGAAAATTGGGCATCAATCTACCTCAAGACCCAGCAATACCACTCTTGGGCACATACCCAAAGGATGCTCAATCATACCCACAAGGACATGTGCACAGCTATGTTCACAGCAGCATTGTTTGTAATAGTCAGAACCTGAAAACAACCTAGATGCCCCTCAACTGAAGAATGGATAAAGAAAACATGGTACATTATACAATGAAGTACTAATCAACAGTAATAAAACAATGACATCCTGAAATTTGCATGTGAATGGATGAACTAGAAAAAAAAACTATCCTGAGTGAGGTAACAGACCTAGAAAGACAAACAAAGTAAATACTCACACATAAGTGGATATTAGACATAAAGTAAAGGATAACCAGCCTGTAGTCCAGAACCCCAGAGAATCTAGATAACAATGACAGACATACATGGATCCCCCTGGAAAAGGGAAATAGACAAGATCTCCTGAGAAAACTGGGAGTGTGGGGGTGGCAGTAGAAGGGAGGATGGGAGGGGAAGAGGGTGGGAAATGGGGAGAGAGGAAGAGAACATGAGGGAATGGGAGAGTTGATATGGGGAAAGGATAGAGAAGGGAAGCAAGGAAAGAGATATCTTGATTGTGGGAACCATTATAGGACTAGCGTCAACCCTGGCACCAGAGAAATTCTCAGGAATCCACATAATGACCCCAGCTAAGAACCTTAGCAATAGTGGAGAGGGTGCCTGAACTGGCCTTCCCCTGTAGTCAGATTGATGACTACGTTAAGAGAGCCTTCATCCAGCAACTGATGGTAGCAGATGCAGAGATCTACAGCTAAGCTTTGGGCCAAGCTTCCAGAGACCAGTCAAAGAGAGGGAGAAGCAATAATATGAGCAAAGGGGTCAAGATGATGATGGGGATACCCACAGAGACAGCTGAGCTGAGCTAGTGGGAACTCACTGACTCCCCTGCAGAGAACCAAACTAGGCCCTCTGAATGTGGGTGACAGTTGTGTGGCTTGGGCAGTCTGTAGAGCCACTGGCAGTGGAACCAGAATTTATCCCTAGTGCTTGAACTGGTTTTTGGAACCCATTCTTTTTGGAGGGATAACTTGCTCAGCCTAAATATAGGGGCTTTGGTTATGCCTCAAAGTGATTTGTCAGACTTTGTTGACTCCCCATGGGAAGCCTCACCCTCTCTGAGCAATGGATGGGGGATGGGGTGGGAGGAAGTGGGGGAGTGAGAGGATGGGAGGGAGTAGGAACTGGGATAGGAATGTAAAATAAAAAAAGATTGTTTAAATAAATAAATTTTTAAAAATGAAAGAAAATAAAGAAAGGAGGTCCCTGGTGACTTTGCCACCACTTCTCTGATCCCATTTCTGACTCCTTAGTGTTTATTAATAAAGAATAATTAGATAAACGCTTCAGAGTTCCCTATAAATGATTTAGAAAACATGTTCAATATACCTCATTTCTAAATTGAGGACATATTAACTTACAACATAAGACTATGAGCTCTAAGTGGGTTGAAACTTCACTTTACATCCTATGGTATAGCATGCAGAAATCACTTCATAGATGAGGTGAGCATATGAGCCACTTTGCAAATTCAACTCCCTTGATAATTCAGTCATTCCAGGTTGACATACATAAATAGTATTTCTAGGATACACAGAATTTCTGCAAAAAATACTTTCACTCAGAGGCACTGGTGGCAGGCCAATGTGAACTGGGCTGGGTGTTGGCGTCCACCCTGGGCTGAGGGGAGTCCTCCTCACCCTCTCCCTCTATGCTGTGCCAGGCCGCTCCCTTTCTATCCAGGTGTCTGTTAAATGGAGATTTTCTTATTAGTTTCACCTCAAACTGGTCTATATACACAAGCCTAGACCTAGGCTTAATCAGTATTAAAATGAATGCATTATACACTCCTGCTACATAACCACTGTAAGACACAAGTACTTTCCTTAACAGCAAAGAGTTAAGAGGAGAAACATATAAAATAAATAAATGTTTAGATAGAATAATTCAGCCCAGTTATAAACTACTAATTTACAAAAATAAATAAATAAATAAAGGATTCATTTAAAAACAGTCAAGTTTTTCCCGAGTACGAGTCAGTGACTGTAACTTTAAAGCCAAGCTTACTCATCGCTGTCTTTTGCTGTGGATTCCTCTCTCGCAGGTGAGCTGAGGCTATTCTGCTTTGTCTTTCCTACATGAGTGTAACAAAGAAAAGAATACAGTGTTAAAGAGGTGATTGGCCAAATTTTAATCGACTGAATTGACAAACTTGAGCTCCCTGTAATTGCAACAGCTGAAAGACTGAATCAGAAGGCCTGAGACTGACCTGGCTCAGCTTAGAAAACGATCACACAACAAAGTTGAATTTAGACTGCTGAATATTAAACAGGAAGGGGAAAACAGAAGGGCAGTAAGAAAAAGAAAGTATTTTGTTTCATTTTTTCATTTCCTTTCTTTAAAAAAAATCTTGACCAAAAGTTAATTTCTTGAATTTTGTACTATACTGAGTATATTCAGTAAAGTATACTCAAAATCAAATAATAAAATTGCTTCCTTAACTTGTAATTCATTTCCCCATTTTATCCCCAGAAGCCAGTGGCAGCCTAGATTATTGTACTAGAATTTTTATCAGGTGTCCAATTGATGTGGGAGTGACTTCTTTCTAATCTGTTGCTTTCATTGGTTAATTAATAAAGAAACTGCCTTAGCCCATTTGATAGGCCACCCTTAGGTGGGTGGAGAAAACAGAACAGAATGCTGGGAGAAAGAAGCTGAGTCAGGGAGTCGCCATGATTCTCCCACTCCAGGCAGACGCAGGTTAAGATCATTCCTGGTAAACCAGCTCATGGGCTACACAGATTATTAGAAATGGGTTAGGTCAATATGTAAGAGCTAGCCAATAAGAGGCTGGAACTAATGGGTCAGGCAGTGTTTTTAAAAGAATACAGTTTCTGTGTAATTATTTTGGGACATAAGCTAGCCATGCGGGCAGCCGGGTGCCGGGGAAAGTAGCCCGCTGTTCTTATTACAACATCCAATGCTTTTCTAAATATTTGTATTATTGCATAATAATTAACCATATATTAGCCAATATGTGGGTCAATAAAAATCTTGGTTTTCTTAGCTCTTTAAGTACTTTTCAATTACTAAGTAGGACTTTAAATATCTCTCCAAATAACATTTTTTAGTTAATTATTCTCTTTTCTTCATTCTATTTTCCTTTAAAAGTAAACACAATACGCGCCTGGCTCAGTGGTGAATACCTTTAATCCCAGCACTCAGGAAGCAGAGGTGGCAGGTGGCTGAGTTCAAGGCCAGCCTTGTCTATAGAGTGTGTTCCAGGCAACCAGGGCTACACAAACAAGACCCTCCCAGAAAAACAAAACAAAACAAAACACAAACAAACAAAAAGAGGGAACACAGCACACAGCACATATTGAAGGACAATGGAATCATATCAGCATTTTTCTTTCTAGATTATATACACATGTTTTAACACTTGTGCTCTTGACTTTTTTTTTTAAATACAACTTTACAAAACACTGATTATATGTGCGTTATCACTGACTCTACACTGCATTCAGAAGTGTTTTTAGCTCCAAAACCACAGAGAAACTCTGTCTTGAAAAACAAAACAAAACAAAACAAAACAAAAAACAAAAAACAGAAGTGTTTTTAAAGGTTCTGGCAGGAATCCAGGGAGCCTTTTCCTTACCTAAGGAAAACAGCTTTCAGTGGATACGACTTGAAAGCACAATTATTGGTGATGATGACGATGGTTAACACATGGCACTCTGACCTCCACATTCGATTTGTGAGACTTGAACACAACATGCAAAATCCAAGTATAAGGATTTGGGGTTTATTATCAAGTATAATGAGGAGCAGGTAGAAATAAATTGTTTTCCAAATGTTATTTAAATTTCTTGTTCAAGTTTGAACAATATTTTAAAAGGGGGAAATAGAAAAGGAGGTCATGACCTCATCTGAATTTTAAATTACTTCGTTTTATAACTTGGAACTTATGATATCTGATAATGATTAGGCTTTTTTATTTCTAAAACATTCAGAAGACATATTAGTATTGAGAGTATGATTACAAATTATGTGAATTAATTCAGGACCTTAACAAAGTTTTATATGTGATATGTGTATATACACACATATACTCATACATATCGATCAGAGTAAATTAAACACATATGTCCACTTTAATTAATAACCAAAGTGAACTAGTAATCACCACATAAGTCAAAAAGTAGAATATTGCTAGCACCTCAGAAACCCTTGCAGTTTGACTTTTTTATAAAAGAGCATACTTAGTACCTATAATGTGACAATTATCCATATAAATGTCAAGTGAAATCATGTGACCAATCTTTTTATGGGCAAAAGGAATGTTCCCTTAAGTCCTTACTTAATTTCAATATGGAAATTGAGTATGCATCAATTTAACATCTACTGAGATTTTCATACAGAGATATGCAATCTCTAAGCTATTATTTGTTAATTAAGAAGCTATATCAGGTATATAAAACTATAGAACTTGAGAGAAATGTATAGATTTTCATAAGTTTTGTGGAAACAAACATAATATTAATAGCTTTAGGATAAAACACTTGATTAAACTAAAATTAAAGACACTCAATAGCTTAATATCTAAATACCTTAATATCTTAGGTAAAATGAGGACAATTCCTTTATACATTCTAGTATATGCTTAACATTCAATAAATGTTAAACAATAAAATATAAATTAGGCTAGCCACAGCATAAATACATTTTATTAAATTTGAGCTTATTTAAAATTTTATATTATAGAAAATTACATCACCGATTTATGACCTTTTACAATACAAAAAAATTAAGCATATGAAATTGAGACTTGTGCCTTTAAATATAGATCTTAGCAGTAAACTACTAGAGAATAACAAATATAAATGTCAGAATTAAATGAAGAATATTTTAAAATAATTTTACATAAAAATTAGGTTATTCTGTATGGAAAAATTTTATGGCTGAAATATAATAAGTGTAAACTATGTAAACATATACTAAATGTGGGTAAAGCTAAATGGACAATATGGATAAGAATAACATTTAGAAGTACCCCTCTTAAACTGCAGCGTGGCAGCACCTGAGTTATATGCCCTTTAATTTATGCACATGATGGATAGCTTGTTAAGGGCATATCTGTAACCATTATAATTGATAGTAGCTGAAGGCAGTCAGGCCATAACTTCTGTTTAATGGATGGAATAGTAAGGGAACAGCAGCAGCATTTTAAAATAAGTGCCTACAAAGTTTACATTTATGTCCAAAGTAACATTTCACTCTAGCCTTTTCTATGTTAAATTCCTTGAGAAGAGAGAAAAACCAGCTGCAACAAGAGCTATATATCACTAAATCAAAATCTTGATTTAACCAATAACTAGAAGAATCTTACCATAAGTGGAAAAGAATGTTCAACTAACCATTTGATGGTCCGTTTCCGCACTCTTGTTCTTTGGGGGTTATAGAAGAAGAAAATGGGCTCATTTGATAAGTTCCAGTTGTTGGAGAATAAGTTGTAATACTTTTCTTCCTTCTGCATTTTGAAGGACTAAATGACTAGAAATAAATAATAATTTTGAAGAGAAGTACTTACATTTAGTTACAGATCTTTGAAAATACTTTAAGTAACTCTGGGAAATGCAAATTAATACAACTTTCCTTGCTCTTTCTTTCAGGTGTTGAATGTATTTATCACCTTCAAAGTGAACATTATTCCTCTCAAATAAGGTAGATATTTCAGATCTCTACAATAATTAGGGCATCTCAATTTGATATTTATGAAAATTTGATATGAAACATTACTAACTGCTGCTATGTATTCCAACGGTTAGAGATGAGGACTCTGGCCAGCACATTCTCACTGCTAATGTGCAATATATAATGTGGAGTGTAATTATGGAGCCAGACCTGGAAACTCTCAGCAGTGCTTGTTACTAAAGCCCACAAGGAAATTCTAGGAAAGCTCGGTGCTCTCCTCAGCTTACCCACAGTCTTCTGTCAGTGTTCTGTCTTAAGGTCTGCCACTTGTACCCTCTGGAGCACTTGCCTGAACTACGCAACTTCCTGCAGCTTCCTCCTTTATATTCTTCTAAGTGGTATGCATTTTCATAATATTGCACATTTTTGTCTAATGCATCAGAATTTGTTCCTGAAAATTAATATATTTTTGTATGCTAAAGAACATAAACATGTATAAGGGATGACTTAAAAGGAAAAGTTGGTCCTTCTGCTCTACTCAATATACTCATTTGTTCACCTACAATTTCTATTAGTAGATTATGAACATGTGGGTCTCTAATCAGTCTACTATCTTAGCTTGGAATGTTATCTCTTATCTTCCCCAACTATTCTTTCTTTAGTGTTGGTCTCTAACTCATCATCTGCTTTCTCTAAATATCTGCTATCACACTATTGTTTGTTCCTAGATTCCTCGAAGCCTTGTTTTCTATGGTGGTTACTGATTATCACCTAACTAATGTGTATAAGGAAACATAACGAGGGACTAGGAAGCTAAATCAGCAAAAGACCTGACTTCAGATCTCCAGAATCTATATGAAGGCAGATGAATAAAACTCATCTGTCATCCCAGCACTCTTATGGCAAGATGGTAGATGGAGACATGAGGATCCTGCATAAGAACCTAAGTTCAGATTCCCATAGTCCACAGAAAGCCAGACCTGAGAGCACAAGTCTGTCACCCTAGTTCTTCTCTAGCAAGATGGACGGTAGAGATGGCAGAATCTCTGTGGGTCAGCTAGGCTGGCAAACAGTCACCTAAGGGAATCCGTCTCAAGCAAGGTAGTATGTTGTGGCACATTACTTTAATTATGTAAAGATGTGTTGTATTTGTTAACCTAGTAAAGATGTGCTGCATTTTTTTTACCCTGCCTGCTTAAGGCACCTGATTGGTTTAATAAAAAGCTGAATGGTCAATAGCTAGGCAGTAGAGGTATAGGTGGGGCTGGCAGACAGAGAAAGTAGGAAGAGGACTCAAGGCTTGAGAGAAGAAAGAATGAGGAAAAAAATGCATCCACAGCTGTGTCACCTTTAAAAGTAAACTTGGTATTTGTTCTAGAAACTATGGGATCAACAATATTTATAGTTAACATTTTAAATGATATATATTTGTTTGGGTGGAACAAAAGGCATTTATTTCCTATATCCACAATAGCCAAAATTGTTACAGCATCTTTTAAAAAATATCCAACACTTGTAGCATTCTACCTCTAATGCAGTCCTTCCTGCGGATGAAAGGGTTCTAAGTCTCTCTACCAGGTAGTTACCATTACCTCTTCATCTTGAGTTTTCACCTGTTTGTGTGTATTCGGTCATAAACTATGACATTTTCCCAAGCCCTAGTCAACTTCTCCAAGAATTTATTGCCCAGAATGATTTCACTGTGTATGTACAAGGAATGAAAGTTATTGCCCTATTGTACATTTATGTCCATCTGTTTTCCTATTTTCACCAAAAAATATTTTATCCAATTGCCAAATGTCTAAACACTGCAACTGTAGATAATATATTTCTTCTTGAAAACAATTTTATAGCTTTCAGGAAAACTCCCCCTCCCCAATCTCTGTGTTTCATACCAAGAATGTCCTCCTCTCCTCTCCCCTCTTCTCAGTCACTTCTGTTCCTTAAAAGGGAAATATTTATAACTACCATACACAGAGAGGAAACTAAAACTCTACTTTTGCCTACTCTCTAACTGGGACTTCTTCCAGCAATCACACATCTTAGTATATTGGCATATCGTGTGCATAAACTTCCCCAAATGCTTCTTTCCCTCAGTTTCACCACGATCTTCTAACTTTTAACCTGTTAAGATTCAGAAAAAACAATCCTAGGATCCTATGAACTCCATTCTGCCTTCCTTCAAGCTCTGAGGGACCTACACATTACCTCTGATAATGGGAAGAGATTGAGAGAGACTGAGTTACTAATTACGAGGTCAGCAAGAAGAGGGTCATTTATTGATCCTTTTAGAAAAAAGGAAAGAAAAGGTGAGAGGATTAGAGTCAGCTAGAAAAAGCAAAGGATTCAGGATGCAAACAAAATGCAGTAGATACTAACCCACTTCTATAATAATTTATGCCTGCTTCAGATATTTATTGACACCTTAGAAATATTTAACACTACCATTAAACAAAGACTGTGTTCTAAGATTTAGAATATTATCAGCTCCATTGCTACTACTGTACTTTCCGTTAAGAGGTCAAACCTTTTATCTTAGCAAAACTAAAATTTGAGCATAGATCTTTCTGCTAAGAAAAAAAAAATCAATGCTCTCTCTATAATTTCCAATAGATAAGGCATTTGCCTTTGATTCTCTTCATGAATTGTAGCTTGCTTTGTCACCTTGTTAAAATCATGTTCAACCAAAAAGGTGCCTGCATATTATTGATTTTGTACCTCTTATAAACGGTCTAGAAAGTACTAACTAAGGGTTCTTTTACAGTGAAATATGGGATATAAAATTATTATTATGAACTATTAGCTCCTATCACTAGGATACTTAAAACAGGTATTAGAGGTATCCAGATAACCAGAGAAGAGCAGCTGAAGGCAGATCAGTCTTTGGTCTCTTTTCTCTTTTAAAATAGGGTCTTTCTTACTAACCCAGGTTGGTCTTGAACTTATGACCTTCACTCCTCAGCCTCGTCAGTGCTGGGATTACAAGTGTATTACCATGCCTCGGCAGATAATTATTATTAAGCTTATTCTGGTTGATAAGGTTATTGGAATGTCCCACCTATGATATAATTATGGCGTACTACCAGTACTAGTCTGGAATTTATATTAGGAAACTCCAAAAACTGATTGTGTTGGGTGATTTTCATTTTGGATCTACCATTTTTGAGCTGTCATAATGACTACTCTTAATGGTACTAGAGACATTGAGATTTTGTTGTTGCTTTTACAGTAGCTACAGGGAACAAAAGAACTTTGCACTTACTTAGTAATCTTATAGGGATGATAGGGAAAGAATATGAACACACATGCATATAAAGGGAATGGGTAGGCATGGTGGCACACACCTTTAATGCAAGCACTGGAAGGAAGAGGTAAGTTGACTTCAAGGAATTAGAGGCCAGTCTGCTGGTCTACATAGTGAGTTTTAGGACAGTCAAGTAAGACCCTGTCTCAATATGTGTGTGACCAATATATTAGGTTTATGGTGACAGAAACATTCTACCACTCGATAAGGTGTTTAATACAAAGGGTACATACATTGTTAAAAAACATTAAATGTGCACCCAAGACCCACACATTTAATTATATATAAACTTAACATTAAAAATTTTAAAGAAAAAAAACCTTTGGCTGAAGAAGATGGTATACTGTACTTATTTATTTTGTTTGTGACACAAGATCTCACTTTGTAGCACAGGCCAGACTGGACTCACCTCACAGCTCAGGTCACTTCCAACTCACAGAAATCCTCTTTGCTTCAGTCTGCCCACCGCTGGGACGAGTGACCGGCACTACCATGCCTGTCTAGATACATTTCTTTTAAATCTGCACTAATTAGTCTTCTGAAACTTATTTTATTTCTTACAATTACTTACTTAGTTTGTGTGTATGACTTCCAGGATGTTTTCCTTCTAGCATGTAGATTCCAGACATGCAGCTTAATTCAGAAACCTTAGCTACAAGAACCCTCTGCTAAGCCATCTTGCTGTCCCATCTTCCACAATTTTAAAGAAACTAGACTACCATCTTTAATTTGAAAGGCGCTCCAGCACCACAAATAATAATATTACTATACTATTACTATCTCACACTACAATCCTCAGGGAAAGTTTTTTTTAAAGAAATATGTCCATGGTTATTTCTAATCATACTTTCATAGATCCTTTTATTTTTTTTTCAGAATGTCATCCAATTTCATTCAATACATTGTTTACTTACTGAAGTATGATTTAAATAAAATGCACAGATCTTAGTTTGACTTGCTGAGCTCTGACATTATTTACCAATGTGCCTCTACCTGAGCTACGCATGCTCGTCATACATTTCCTTCTGCTCTTTCCTGTTAGTTTAAGTCCAAGCCCAAAGGCAACCACCCTCTAACTCCAAAAACCACACATAGCTGCTGCCTCTTGAACCTCAATTATATGAAGCATACAACCTTCTTTTGCTTAACATGTTTTTGAGATCATCTATGTTGTTGTATATGTTAATAGTTCCCTATCTTTCATTGTTTGCTGGTATTCCTTTGTTTAAATAGGCCATAGTTTGCTTTTTCATTTTCTTCTTCCAGTTTGAGAATATTAGGAATTCAGTTATTAAGGGCACTCTTCTACCTGGCTTTTTGTGTATCCATCATTTCTACTTCTTTAGGGATTGCTAGGTTACAGGATAGATATGGGCTTAGCTTTAAATATATAAAGTAAGAGTTTGACAACTTCCCAAAATGTGTGCATCTTCCATCAATATCTAAGTTTCAGCTCTCCCCATTTTCACCAGCCTGTTTGCTTGCGTGCTTGCCTTGTCATGCTAGTGATGCTAGAGAAACACAAAATTGTGTTTTGCTGTCCTTTACTCTCAAT